TTTCAAAATTCAACACAATCAAATGGACAAACCAATATTGGAAGGATACAATTAGCAGGTTGTTCCAGAGAAGAATTAACGGAGCCGTTTTTGTATGGCTTAAGCCTTTTAAGGTCACGCTTTTTTAAGTATGCGGTAAAGACTGACTTGACGAGACATGATTTTGTGATCGTTTCTATTCATCTTGCTATCGTTCAACACTCAAAAATACATTGTGAGTTGAACATATTTAAGATAGGCCAGGGCCCCGGTCTCAGATAGGCCCGGGCCCCGGGCTCAGATAGGCCAGGGCCTCGGTCTCAGATAGGCCAGGGCCCCGGGCTCAGATAGGCCAGTGCCCCGCGCGCAAAACAAACTAACGACTTCAAGAATCGACGTCTGCAACCACTTACCCTTTTCATCATTATTTCCTTAAAGCAGACAAACAAATCACGTTCTCCTATACATTTTTCTACCAACGTAGTAGTCCTTCCATTTAACGAGGTCAACTATTTTCACAATGGCTGTAACTTGACAGCAACCTCCCCCCCCCCCAACTCAACCGGTGTAAAGTATAATGACGACATTCACGCGATGTTTAGATGTAATTACTTGAAGGCTTTGACTGGACAAAAGCTTTAAGAGGATGTCGTTATAGGAAAGAAAAGAGAGATAACCTTTGTAATGTTTTTTTTTCTTCTATTAGTAGCCCAAACATTTTATAGATAAAATAGTGTTTTTTTCCCCCTCTGATAATGCAACAGTCAACAGAGATTTAAAAAAGACTAATTTCTTTTGCTTATCACAAAATGTGTCTAAAATCAATTCAGCTTTGAACTAAAAATTGTGCTGATGTAAAAAAAACAACAACAAAGAATTAGGTTGATGTGGGTGAAAGATACACATTCACAAATTGGAATAAAACCACATCTGGTTTTCTTGTACTTTCTTATTTGTTTCGTTAAATTTAAGGCCATAATAAATTTTTAGAGCGCATCGGATGTAACCAGCAAAAATTCTCAAAACGAACCGCGAAAAATATTTTAAAAAACCTGGACTCAGCAAGGGCGTCTTGAAAAAAACCTGGACTCAGCAAGGACGTCTTGAAAAAAACCTGGACTCAGCAAGGGCGTCTTGAAAAAAACCTGGACTCAGCAAGGACGTCTTGAAAAAAACCTGGACTCAGCAAGGGCGTCTTGAAAAAAACCTGGACTCAGCAAGGACGTCTTGAAAAAAACCTGGACTCAGCAAGGGCGTCTTGAAAAAAACCTGGACTCAGCAAGGGCGTCTTGAAAAAACTTGGTCTCAGCAAGGGCGCCGACAATCGACAAAGTTTGGTCAACGCTTCCGTAAGCGATAATACTTCAGTCCTTAGCAACCACACTTTATTGTATGACACATTAAGTTTTTTTTAAAAAACCAAACTAACAAATGATTTCTATAACATGATGAAAACATCGTTACAGACTGGTACTGAAATCTTTAAAAAAAACAACAAACCCTTCAAGTTATTGTGAATATTGAAAGACAAAATTTTGAATCGGTTAAGATTTAAATTAACCCTTTAAATGCCGATAGATAAAACACACAATAAAATAGGATAAATATATGTTTGTATCCTTAAATTTTCATCAGGATTTATTAATGCCGTTATTATTATTGTTTATCATGCACTCTATTGTTGGAGTAGGGTTTTTCCCTGGAATCAAAGTCAATAAATGTATGTTTGAAATAAATACACCAACCCATCAGCCAATAAACAGGGCAGCTTAAATTATTTATTTTTTTAAAATCTGGCTTATGGCTTTTTTTTATAACAAAAGAGCATGTTTATTAACTTGAGCATTCTCAAAACGTCAGCCTTGTTTTTTTTTAAACAATTAGAAACTCGGGTAAGATTAAGTTTATTTTGAGAGGCAATTTTCAAAAATAGAATATTAAATGTACATTTTTAATATTATTTATTTAATAATTTTTAACGCTTATCAAATGAGAGCAAGGGAAATCTGATAATCGAATTGTTTAAATTCCTTGAAGTTTTATCAGAATTTAAAAATAATAATACTATGCCAGTGGTCGCGTTCGTCTTTGTAGAGAAAGGGGTTTTTGTAGAGTCGAAGTTGATTCTTTATGTTTTACATACATGTAATGGTCCCTTACAAGACTAATCGAGACAAAAAGGACTCGTTAGCGAATGAGTCACACACAAAAGAGTCAAAATGGTAAAAGTAAATACTTCATTTCAGCCAAGATAATATTTGTATTTAAATTGCAAGTGTCCCGGGCCATGATTTTTTCTGTATATATCGGGGGGGGGGGGGGGGGGGCTTTTTGGGTCAACGGCGGGGCGGTTTTTTTTTTTGTTGGTTTTTGTTTTTTTTTTTTTTTGTTTAAGGCAGCGGCACAGACCTTGTCCCGCCCCGGGTGGAAATTGCTGGCTAAGCCAATGTCAAGCAGCGTATCTCTACTCCAAGACGAAGTCAAAACTAGCCTATAGTAAATTTAGTCATATTTTTTTTACATTTTTGCCTTCAACTCTCGATTGTAGAAGAAAAAAAATCACAAAGAAAAGTTACAGTAAAAAAGTTACAGGAAAATGTTACAGGAAGAATTTACGGGAAAAAGGTAAGGATTCAAAGGAAATCAATGTACTACTAGCTGAGTGATAACTCTCTCCAGGCAAAGCGTCAATGGCTTTAATAAGTGCACGGCTTAGGATCAAAAGATATTAAAAAAATCATTTGTTTTCCGATCCTGTCAGATTTTACCAAGTTGTTTCCACGGCTGTTATGAAATCTTCACACCTGTAATTACACTCAAACTCATTACTGTCATCGAAGGACTGTGTTCGGAACGAAAGATATACAATGTTCATTTGTTGACCAATCTTGTTTTTTTTTTAAAGTCCATATTATTATTGCTTGTATTGAAATATACATTTAAATGTATGTGAGTATTATGGGCTTTTTCACAGAATAATAAATACATATATTTTTCACATTTTTATCTAACTTTATTTTATAAAACCCTTTTTTCATTTGAATGTTTTCCTGTGACTTTTTTTCGGGTTCTTCTTGCATGTGATCTTTTTCAAGTGACTTCTTTCCCTATGACATTTTTTCCTCGCAAAAGTTTGAGTTTTTTCCATGACTTTTTCCATGCTCACTCAACTCTCAACCTAAAACCCTCTATTGATTTAGGTATGGAAACCCATTAGCGCCTATGTGGTCATGGTAAAGTAGGAGACAGTCACGCCATGAACTTAATTTAATTACAACCACTTTTTTTGGTGAAAATAAAGATATTGCTAGAACTGTATGGATGCCACGTTGCCGCCATAGCTACCTGTTATCGACTTGTGGACAATGTAGTAATCTCAATTGATGATATATAGTGGAATTATCATCTGGTAATGTAGTAGGCATAGCCAAGATGGAGGGAAATGATAATCAATTATGGTTTCATATTGATAGCAGCCTTTATTCCCACACGACACACCGTACGCATTGTTTTCAGTTCCAGTTTTCTCCAGACTCTTCTGTTTCTGATGGATACAGACAGACAACTAATTAACAAGGTCAAGAGACTATTTTAAGCTAGCCACAACTTAAATGCGGCCTCGCGCTTGCTTTGGTGTCTGTTAGAGTTCATGACACAACGACGTCGTCTACATAACAGACACCAACACAAGAATATGTGTGCGGGTGGAAACAATATTGAAGAGCCAAAAATGAAATCACCAAGCGATTCAGTCGAACTAAAATCTTGAATTCTCCCCTTGCAATAAAATGAAATCTATTTTAAGGAAGCTTTTATTAAAAGACCGATGCGACTAGAGGGAAACTGAGGCTGAGAGAAACCAACCAGAAGATTGGGTTGTCAGGTACAGCATTTTGAGGGCGAATTGCCGTACACACCATAGCTGGACAGTATTCATTGACTGTGTCTTGACTGCGTGCCGTAGATACCGCTCCTGTTATATAGGCAAAACTGGTAGAAGATTATCAGATAGGATCACTGAACATCTTCGTGGTATTGAACAGGGTAAACCTTCCCCGGTGTCATCCCATTTTAACGGAGATGAAAATGAAGGGGCATTGGGTGTATCCATCACGGCACTGATCTCCTGTACCAACACACCAGAGAGAGTTAGAAGGGAAACAAAATTAATTCAGCTTTTCGGCACAATTTCACCATTTGGAAGTCATCAAATACTCTCCTACAAATTATCCTCAAATTCCCTGTCTTTCTTTTCTTATTTCTTATATCTGATATATCTCCAAAATATTTTACTCCGTTGATATCTTATTTTTCACAGTAATAATACATACATTATTTTACTTCTTGTAATCTTGGTTTTCGGAAATCCAACTTCCGACTCTAACAATGGCAATCACTTATGTTTTTAAGTAGTTTCTATTTCTTGTTACATTTCCATTTGTCCCGTCTGCTGAGGAAGGCTCTTAGCCGAAACGATCGTATGTTATTGTCCTGTCTTTTGATTCAAGCTTCCACATAACTCCAACTATTTTCTTGTATTCCATTCACCGAAGATGATCTCTTTGCAATATCTTTGCGTGCAGCATGGTATACCATGCAGGTCGAGCTAAATATGACAAACAATTACTAAACATGAACTGAATATTTCCATCATACCAGAAAGAGATCAATGTGACAAACTATGACTAAAAAGGAACTGAATATTTCCCTTGTACCAGAAAGAGATTAATAAACTATGACTAAAAAGGAACTGAATATTTCCCTTGTACCAGAAAGAGATTAATAAACTATGGCTAAAAATGAACTGAATATTTCCCTTATACCAGAAAGAGATTAATAAACTATCACTAAAAAGGAACTGAATATTTCCCTTATACCAGAAAGAGATTAATAAACTATGACTAAAAAGGAACTGAATATTTCCCTAAAACTTTTCAGTTTCATCTACGATATCTTCCCGCTCTTGGCCGTCAACTGGCGGGTTTATGCCTAGACGCACTGTTTCTAAGAAACGTTTCTTTTATCAAGTCAAGTGCTTCTCCCCTGAACCTTGACCCCGTGGTACAGTAAAGGACGAAATTTGCTGCATTGTTCGTGGTCATGAGCAGAAAAAGAAGCCTTGTTATACCGTCTCCCAGGGGACCCATTCCTTCTGGGGTTTGGTAATGTGGGCCCAGTAAAAACAGACAGATTGGAGCATTGCAGACGATAAACATGACGTTGATGGCTACTAAAGTCAGGGTTAGAGAAGTCTCTCTTTTTGAATCTTTCTTTCTTCTCACTGCTTTGCCGATAGAAGTCCCCGTTGTAAATAGACTAGTTGCGCTAAACTTCAAAACCCGATGGCGACTTTTGATGACATTATAGATAATAACGATATTGAACACGCTGAGGAGAGAACAGGGAATGTAGGCGAAAACCGCGCCATCAAGGAAGAAATAGAACATATTCAAGAATTCGCGATTGTACGTGATGGTGCAGTATTTAACACTGGTTGTGTTCGTGGTGGTATCAAAGATTTCCATGCGATTGCGTATGAAGAACATAGGCATGTAAATGCATATCATGATTAAGAACATCCCTATGATTATAAACCTGGCCTTGATGACGGTGCATGACATTCGAACCTGGTGCGGCCAGACGATGGAGATGACCCGTTCGGTGGTAACGGCCACTAACGTCCAGCTGCTACTTGAGAAAAACGTGTCCCCCAGCCACACGGAGAGCTTGCAGGTGAGGGTATCTTCACGGTTGTCGTAATGGAAGACCGAGATTTGGACAAAAACGAATGAGTCCCGTCAAGATGGCGCCCAGATCCATCAGGCACTGAAACCGGAAGTAGAGAGAAATCGTGCTACCCCTGAAAGCCTTTCTGCTTAGCACGACAAACGAAAGAGGGTTGCAGATGCAACCCATTAGAAGAACTAGAATCGAGTAGTATCTACACAACGAATCTACAGCCTCAAGAAATCGATCGAGATCGGGATCCATGTTTTTTTCTTCAGATATTTGTAACGCTGAAACTGACCTCTCACCAAAAAACGTGTCTATTCGATATTGTTGTCTGTTTTTTTTTATTTATACAAATTCTATTTCCCAATACTTCTTTCTAGTCGTTTCGGTGTTCTTTGTTTATGAAGTTTTTAACGAGATTTTAGTTTTAATGTTTCCATTTCTTTTATGTCGTGTGCGAAAGATGAGATTTAAGCATTTAAAAAAAAAATGCAACAACTGAATGCATAGTTGTGTGACTGTAAAAATATCGATGTTTTAATTGGCGCCCTCACGGTGGACAAACTGGGTATCGTTGACATAAACACTAGATGGTGTTGTTGGCAAATTGTGATAAAGATAGGGCTCAAAGAAATACGGGTCTGATAACTTTAAACGTAAATCTCTATAAGATTGCACGCGGAGACCGTTATTTGTTTTGACCTGATGGTCGATACAAAAATGACAGCCCGCTACTGAGATAGAACGTTCTACATGAAAGTCCAATACCATAGCATGGGTAAAATGGTACGTGGAAATTAAAGATCAAAATCTATTTTTACGTGATGACAACCATTTAAAAAAAAATCTAAACCAAAAAGACTTATATTTTTTACAGTTTGATCGATTATGAACTCCACAAAAAGCTTTTTTTGTAAAACACGAATAAAGAATACAGATTGATGTCCCGTGACTTCTTTGTTCTTGGTATGTAACTGCAATTAAATAATAATAACTATATACAAGACCGAAAAGTATCCCTCTTTAGTTTTTCGATTTTTTTAAAAATTGTTTCAATAGGATTTTTCCTTTCAATATGGGACACTGAGCTCATTTCAAAACAGAAACTTGTGATTAACGGAATCCATTCCTGTTACTTGAAGCTAAGCGGTGCTTGTTTTGAAGTTAGGGCTTATGAAGGTGGTTTTCAGTGTGGTGGAAAATACAACTGTAAATCGGAAAGTGCTTTGTTTAAATGTTTAGAAAAATTTAAAGTGCGAGTTAATTTAAATTGGCGTAGAGTGCGTATTTTGTTTAGAATAGTTTTGTTTAAAAATAAAACAAAAGGGGCGCTTATGCAGGGGCGGACTTGGATGACAGGACATCGTTAAGAGTCTCGGTGGGCCGACAAGGTACCGGGATAGCTATTTGTCGGCTGGGCCGTTTTTACTTGAAAACAAAGCTTTTTCTCAACTTATAGATTCTTGTGACCAGGCAACTTAAACACCATAGTTCACCACTGCGCTTATTTGGTCCACAGAAGTCATGCGACTGAAGCATAGTTTTGTGTGGTTGATACAGGGTTAAAGGACAGGTGCGTAAAATAAAATTCGGAAATTGGCCTCGCCATATAATGGTTAACGTGCTGCAGTGTGATGAGATGATGGGTTGATAATTAGCGGCGTTCAACACTTCTTTCAACGTTATTTATATATATATTTATAAAAAAAGTACAACTTTGGAATCAGTACTTGTAACCAATGTTCCCTTTAAGCTGCGCGGCGGCGCAGCTAACTCACAGACGCCGCGCAGGAGTTTTGAGTATCCGCGCATCAAATTTCCATGTAAGTGTGTGTTTGTGGGCTGTAAAATTTTGCACACACAAAAATTTATGCTGTAAAACTTAACACAACTGTACGATTTTGCACACGAACCAGCAAACCTTAGAGGGAACATTGGTTGTAACTACTCTACTCTACAACAAGACGCTTAATCACCGCACAAACTCCTACCAAGACCATCCTGCAAATCACCATCACCCTCTCGCCCGGTAGTCTCGCACGACCGTCTGACATGACCGTCCCACACTACCGACCGGAAAAATCGTCCCGCACTACCGTCTCGTAAGAACGTTTATACGACCGTCTCTCACAAACATCGTAAAATCAGATTCGAACTAATTTGAACTCATTCTTTGTCCGCTTTTCCTAGCTTCGCCGAGTGCTGACACTCATGACACCACAATCTCTAATGCTCTCGCGTGCACGCCCGAGGGCATCTTATTTGAATGAATTGTCTCAAATTTAAAAAGGATTCATTCAATGTGTCTATCAGATTTTAAAAAAGTTAAAACAGACATAACATAATTGAAAACGTGTACAAGCCACTGACATAACATAACTGAAAGCGTGTACGAGCCACAGACATAACATAACTGAAAACGTGTACAAGCCACGGACAGAACATAACTGAAAACGTGTACAAGCAACTGACAGAACATAACTGAAAACGTGTACAAGCCACTGACATAACATAATTGAAAGCGTGTACAAGCCACTGACAGAACATAATTGAAAGCGTGTACAAGCCACTGACATAACATAATTGAAAGCGTGTACAAGCCACGGACAGAACATAACTGAAAACGTGTACAAGCCACTGACAGAACATAACTGAAAGCGTGTACAAGCCACTGACATAACATAACTGAAAACGTGTACAAGCCACTGACAGAACATAACTGAAAGCGTGTACAAGCAACTGACATAACATAACTGAAAACGTGTACAAGCAACTGACAGAACATAACTTAAAGCGTGTACAAGCAACTGACAGAACATAACAGAAAACGTGTACAAGCCACTGACAGAACATAACTGAGAGCGTGTACAAGCCACTGACATAACATAACTGAAAACGTGTACAAGCCACTGACAGAACATAACTGAAAACGTGTACAAGCCACTGACATAACATAACTGAAAGCGTGTACAAGCCACTGACAGAACATAACTGAAAGCGTGTACAAGCCACTGACATAACATAACTGAAAACGTGTACAAGCCACTGACATAACATAACTGAAAACGTGTACAAGCCACTGACAGAACATAACTGAAAACGTGTACAAGCCACTGACAGAACATAACTGAAAGCGTGTACAAGCCACTGACAGAACATAACTGAAAGCGTGTACAAGCCACTGACATATATTTAATTATAACATAGCCTTATTATTTTGCGACCCCAGCCTCCTGTGGATTGCCTGCATTAAAACATTTACCCGCACAAGAAAATTCTAAATATAACAAAAGTAGCCAGAGTCGTGTGATAATGTCCGACGAAAACCGCATTATATTTCTCTTTAGACAGAACACAAAATTCACGTAAAGAATGATTCATTTTGAAAAAAAAACAAAAACAAAAAAAAAACAACAAAACCCACCGACTTTCAAACCAAGGCTCCAAAACCGATGGGTGCTGGTGTGCTACGTCATCAAGCCTCCGAAAGAAGGAAAAGAACCCACTTTATGACACGTCGTTATCAAAGTGTGCACAAGAGGACAATGATTCCCTTCGTTCTTCTTCTATAATATATTAAGGGCCCACAATCAATTTATTGATCACTTTGGCTCCTATGCATGTAGAGGGGATTTGCTATGTTTCTGTGCCTGGTGTAGTTCCCTTATTAGCAAGGTACCAAACTTTTATAACTGCATGCTATATAATGCATGCACGATGAATGAAAAAATGATGTCAATGGAATTGTCACACTTAAACTAAATCTTCGTTTTGACAAAAACAAAACAAAAACAAACAAACAATAAATAAACAAACAATAACAAACAAACCATAACAAACAAACAATAACAAACAAACAATAACAAACAAACAATAACAAACAAACAATAACAAACAAACCATAACAAACAAACAATAAATAAACAAACAATAACAAACAAACAATAACAAACAAACCATAACAACAAACAATAACAAACAAACAATAACAAACAAACAATAACAAACAAACAATAACAAACAAACAATAACAAACAAACCATAACAAACAAACAATAAATAAACAAACAATAACAAACAAACAATAACAAACAAACCATAACAACAAACAATAACAAACAAACAATAACAAACAAACAATAACAAACAAACAATAACAAACAAACCATAACAAACAAACAATAACAAACAAACAATAACAAACAAACAATAACAAACAAACAATAACAAACAAACAATAACAAACAAACAATAACAAACAAACAATAACAAACAAACAAAGAAATACCTCAACAAGATGGAAACCTACCAATACGTTTATGTGAATTTAAAATATAAACCAGATGGGTGAAAATAATCGTCTGTCAAAGTTTTGGAAGTTGAACATGTTGTTAGCACAAGTTAATTACGTGATGGAAAACAATAGGGCAGGCATGCATAATTTCGTTCATTGTTTATTTCAACAGAATGTATAAATAATTTGGCCAATGAAATATTAAAGAGGGATACAAAGGTTCGTTGGCGGCTTCATCCTGCTTAGATTATACATTGGTGACATTTAACATCAGATCAGATCAGATTCTTTTATTGGTCCAAAGAAATGGAAATGTTTTTTTTTTATTGCTTTATACATTTTCAGACACAAGACATTTATAATAGATTATTTCAAACAGCCGTTCAGTGAGGCTTAGATAATATAGTGATGACATTTAATGGCTTAGATTTTATATCGATGGACATTTCCAGTGAGATCTTGGGAAAAACTTACTTCCAAATATTTAAAAATGTGCCTTAGATCTTTACTCCGAAACGAAGAGTCTGTGGATAGCACCAAGGGATCGCCTTTCAAGAGCAGGGCTTGTTTTGTTGCTGTGGAATCTATCCGAAACATTTAGTCACATTTCATTAACTTCCCCGGCAGAATGCTGATGAAGAAATGTTCAGAGTGATAGACGATTGCTTCGTTAGAAAAACTTTGCTCTTTTTTTTTTGCACCACCTGGGTAGTAAATGATAATCTGTGTACAATGACAAAGATCCAACATTGCCCCTTACACATTCCT